CATGCAAAACAACAAAATGTGGAACTTATTTAACCAAACATAATTCTCATTCATCAAGAACTAACAAGTGTAATATCCACTAAAGCAAAGCTTAAGTATATAACACCAACAGTTCACTCACCAACGACGGGGCCGAGTTCACTTACCAACGATGGGGCCAAGTTCATTTTCAAACGATGCGGTCAAATTCGTTTATCCACGCTGGCACTGATCACCTATTTGTGACGTTTATTGTAATGGCGTTGGCTGAAATGGCGTTCGTATTCTCTCGCCGTTAGAGGTTCGACTCCGGCTGAGATGACATTTATTGGTGATGGCGTTGGCTGAAATGGCGTTCGTATTCTCTCGCCGTTAGAGGTTCGACTCCGGCTGAGATGACGTTTAATGTAATGGCGTTGGCTGAAATGGCGTTCGTATTCTCTCGCCGTTAGAGGTTCGACTCTGGCTGAGATGACGTTTATTGTAATAGCGTTGGCTGAAATGGCGTTCGTATTCTCTCGCCATTAGAGGTTCGACTCCGGCTGAGATGACGTTTTTTGTGACGGCGTTGGCTGAAATGGCGTTCGTATTCTCTCAACGTTAGAGGTTCGACTCCGGCTGAGATGACGTTTGTTGTGACGACGTTGACTGAAATGGCGTTCGTATTCTCTCGCCGTTAGAGGTTCGACTCCGGCTGAGATGACGTTTATTGTGAGGGCGTTGGCTAAAATGGCGTTCGTATTCTCTCGCCGTTAGAGGTTCGACTCCAGCTTGTTGGGACATATGAGGATCTCGATATGCACAAATCACGGACAAACATTCAACATAAACCTATGCGCAGCGGATCTAAAGGTTTGATGAAGAAAACTTACTGCTTAAAATTTATATAGATCTGGCTGGCCCGAATAGTTGACCGCAAATCAAATCTTCTCGGAATCGAACAAACTTGACCAATCCGGAAAGCTGACATCACGGCGAAGTCAACGGCGTTGACCGATCGAAAATCGGACTTCTCACGCGCTCTCACGCGCGACGACGAGTTCCAGCAGCAGCTTCCTTCAGGCGGCGCGTGCGGGCGCG